AAAAAAAAAAAGAGCCAACCTGCTATAGCTGTAAAATACACTTTTATTAATTCACTTTTTTTTTCGCTGATAAATTCATATCATATTATTCGAGTCTGTCGTCGGATGAGCAGTATCGTTCAAAATTCCTCTCAATTTTAACTGCCATTCAAAGTTGTTTTACAGTATCATCAAACTGCCAATTATAAACAGCAGATCCGGGGTTGCCAAAAAAATTTTTAAACATTTATAGCAAAACATTTTGTAATACTTTTAACAAATATCAAATACCTTTGACTGTGCAGCCAAAGTGCTGGAAAAATCTGCTAATAATCTATAAACCAATATATCAAAAGTAAAGTGAATAAACAAACAAACCAAAAAAAAAAATTCTTAGCTTTTTGATTGTGCTTTGGTGTATGATATGACATTTGGGTAGTTCTATTACTTGATTTAATCCTATAATATTGTCTGCACAAAACACTAAATTGTTTAATATCTTGTTTTCAAATATATCAACAACGTGACAGACAACAGATGCTATGCAAGAAGCAAACAAATGTGGTTCTTTGATAAAATCGAGAAAAAAAAATAAAATAAAATAAAGTAATAAAAAAGAAGAAAAATAGGGGAGGAAAGATCTGTAAAATTCATCATTTATCATCCCTTTCTAATACACAATATTATATTTCAAATAAATTTAAGCTGTTTTTCAAAGCTATTTGTTTATGGTTAAGGGTCATAAATTTTTTTTTCTTCCCACCTATATCGTCCGTCAACCAACAGATGCCAATTTTCCATTCCAACAAAATATAAGCAAACATCTAGTGTTTCGACTAAAACCTAGACTTCTTAAATTTTTTGCTTTACTTTTCCTATAATTCTAAACGTTGTTAACAGAATGTTTAAATTTTTTTTCCTCCTTTCTTTTTTCTTTTGAAGATATAAGTGTTTAGTAAGTCTTTGCGTACGAAATTGATTTTATATAGAAAAATGATTTTATTTCAAGAGATATCCTGAACAAAATCTGACTGATTTAAGCTGCTTATAAAGTGCACAAAATGGTGACTGATTGCCGTCAACTGTTTAAAACTTCATCCCCATAATAAAGTGCTAAATTTCGGTATTGGCAACCATTAACACTGCAAATATCGTTCTCCTGACAAAAACAAATTTCTTCTATTTCTTTCATTTACAAAACTGTAGAATCAGCAATCATCTGCATGAGAATTGTGTATTTGGTTTTGCACTGCTCAAGAATTTTGAGCTGAAGTCATTTTAGCTTATAGAAGCCACGAAAAAAATAACCTAAGCTTAAGGTGTATGTGGATTGTCTGTGCAATACCGCTGTATTTTTTAGGACAATTGGTGATACTAAAGCTCAAACACTGTTGGCAAGATTCCAACCGCATAAATTATTCCACAAAATACTGAAATTAACTTGTGGGAGATTTATGGGTTTCTACTTGTTGTAAGGGCCAATTTCTATTTTTGTATATGCGTAAATAAATATGTCGGGACGAATCATTTTGTACGAATATCAGCCGTACTGGTTTTACGGGAAGGGGTTTTTTTTTGTTGTTGTTTTTCAGGGATTATTGTTTTCA